GGCAATTGAACAGGAATAGACGAGGGCGAAGGGGTAAGATCGGAGGAATCCTGCATCCCATGGAGAGTCTGGTACAGGTTGAAAACAGGGGGGAAATGACAGGCGTTAACCATGGAAGCAAGCAAAAACAGTCGAGGACGTGGCGGTAAGGCCGAAAAAAAAAAAAAAAAAAAAAACCTTTGAAGGCTGGGGCACTCCAGGGGAGAAGGCTTGGGTGGAGACAATAATTCTGATTCAAGCTAGGCTTCTTTACAAATGGCACAAGACGGGAAATGCCAAGGCAGACGACGAAGAACAGCAGGGTAGACTTAAAGAGGATTTTCACTACAGAACGACCGGCAGGATGCAAGGCAGCGGAGCCGAACTTCTTCCCGCAGACGCTGAAAAGACTGGTGCAATTCAGAAACAATCCAGAAACAGGGTGGAAGAAGTCAGACTCTCCAGGCAACACAAGCAGCAGAGGAACACGACACACTGGAACACGCTTGTGCCAGCAGGTGAAGACAACCCGGAGGTTTGGAGCAAAACTAGCCAACAAAGGGTTTAGGGTTTAGGGTTTAGGGTTCTTGGGACTATGGACACCCAAAGGTTTAGAGCAAAACTAGCCAACAAATGAGAGATAAAAAAGAAGGTCAAGGGGGATATGGGAAATATGGACGAGGTTGCAGGGTTTAGGAGCAATGGCCAAAAAAAAAGATACTATCTTTTGGAAAAAAAAAGAAAAGGGAAGGAGGGTGGGACTAGTTTCTCAGCAGTAGATATCTGGCGCCTGGTGCAAGGGCGAAGAGGTTTCCTCCCCTTCCTTAACAACCTGCACAGTCAATCCTCTCTGGTAACCAGAGCAATTAACGCTGGCAGGTTTCATAATCAGTCAACTTCTCTTGATCCAGTCTGTATCTATTCTGCAATACATTCTGTAAAGGGACACTGGACCCGTTTTCCAGCAGGTGATGCTCCCCACCAATAGATGGAGCCTCCCCCCCGGGTGCTAGTCGTGTCTGGCCCTGTCAGCACCACTAGCACAGCAGGGGTGTGTGTTCTGTTAAAAAAAAGAAAAAAAGAAAAAAAAGAAAAAAGAAAAGAAAAGAGCCTTCCAAACCAAAACAGAAAAGGAAAGGAAAAAAAAAAAAGAAAAAAAAAGAAAGTGCCTTCCAAAGGAATTCATTAGTCTGAGCCTCCGAGGCAAGGTTGCACGCATCGTCAACGATCAACAGCCTAATGAAGGCAGAACTCCCACGCAGAGAGGTCGCAGAGTCCAGCAAGGTCGTGATGGCCAGCAAGATTGCCGCAGCAGTGGATGAGGATGTTTTGACGGACTCAAGCGCGGAAGCAGGAAGGGAAGAAAGGATGCCTTCTTGAGATTCTTGATGTGAATAGCCAAGGCTGACAGCTCCACAGATGGAACCTGAGAGGAGTACATGAGAAGGGCGAGCTGATAGTCAATCCTCCTGTAACATGGAGCAATCAATGCTGGTCAGGGTTCCTTCGGCCAAGCGGAAGGAAGTGCGCCAGTGTAAATGGTGTATCTTGCTATTTTGACTCGCCGGAGGAATGCGAACCGGACTGATGCTCCCCAGAATGTTTTATGGAGCCAGGACCATACAGACCTGTCACCTATAGGGGCGCGGGAGATGCAGCCCACTCCCCTTTGCTGCCTATGCTGTTGAAAGTACTAAACATTTCCTCCATATGTATTCTCACATATCTATGGAGTAGTATGAACTAGTAATAGAGCGCGTGTTGCAAAACAAACGGATAAAAAAAAGATAGTTTGAAGCTCACTGAAACCCTTTTCCTGTGCAGTTCTTTCTTTTCTTTCCTTAGGCTTTTTTTCCTCCCTCGGTTTCTGTGTTATTATTTCTTCTTTTAGCTTCTCCTTTGCATACGTAGATATATGCTGCAGGCTCGCAAGCAAATTTCACGGGTCCGCTACCTGTAAGTCTTGAAGAGTACCTGACATTTCCTCTGTGCAAGGAAAATGAGCAATAGCGAGATGACAATATTACAATAATCAGATTGCACAATCACATTGAAAGCCAGATCGTATCACAGTGTCCAGAAACCAGCATTACACCAAAAGAGACACCAATGGAGAATCGTAACGCTGAATACCAATGTCAATGAGAGCTTGCTCTCGCCACCACCAACATATGTGTCCAGGCATGTCTCCCTACTTTGGCGCTCGGCGATCAGCCTACTCCCTACACAGCTACTACCTGTAACGAGCGTGAGGCTGAGGGTGAGCCGAGGGAGAGGAGAGAGAGGGGGAGAGTGAGAGCAAACACACACACTCACTCACTCGACACGACGGACTCGGACTGAGGATCGGACGCAGACACAGTGGCAAGGCACAAAGTCGAAGTCTTGGATTCGCGAATGCCGAAAACAGCAAGTCACACTGAGTACGAGTACAGCAGCAGAGAACTGGTACGAGACTGGTCCCCGTATTGTATGGGGAGCCGGTATAAGTACCGGTGACACGTACGGTACCAGGGGCATTTCTGCAAAGGCCCCGAGGGCAGAACTGAAAAAATGCAGTATTTGAAAGTGGCGCCCGAATTGCAGCATGGCGCCAGTTGTCCAAACTCCTACGGTACCAAAGGAGGGGTTTGGAAAAAGGGTGCCAGGCCGAAAACGGGATGCAGCCGAAACAGCAAAAGATAGACCAGGGATCGAGCCATGGCGAAGTCCGTCTAAATCATGAAGGCAACGTCCCGGCTGCCAAAAATCATGAAGCAATGCTAAAATCTGTGAAGGACGGGACGGGGCCGATCACTGGTTAACAAGTCGAAAAGGGAAGAGGGGTATAATGTGGGTGGCATGGGCTGTAGTTAACAAGTCGAAAGGGAAGAGGGGTATAATGTGGGTGGCATGGGCTGCGGGAGTAAGAGGGAACAGGGTTTGGTACCGGTGAACAGAGTTGTCCTACTGATGAACTAGGGGGGGTTGCAAGGAACAGGGTAGTCC